CACTGCATGATTCACATATCAACACATAAATCAAGAAATAACTTATCAAGATCGAAAAAGATGCCAAAATCCTAATTTGGCACTAATGTCAATCTATTGTGCTATCGCTCATAGTTCCAGAAATCAAAGCGTTACACTTGGAGTGTAAAATATTTATTTAATAGGAACATGGTTGTTGGCCTAATTTAGACCTAACACAAATTTTGAAGGGTAAGTTAAAATGACTATATTGACCCTATATACTGTAATTGAATAGTTTAAGAAATAAATGCCAATTTGGCCCCTGAACTTTTTTAACAGGATCAAAAAGGTCAATGTTGGCCAATTTAATCTCTGAACTTATTTAAAATATTTAAAAAGATCAGATTTAATAATTTTGATCAATTTAACCCTTGAACTTATTTAAAATAATTTTAAAAAATTAGATTTAACATTTTGGATCAATTTAACCGTTGATTCATCAATGTACTTTTAGGCATTTAAGACTATAATTAGAGTTAAATTGTATAATTTATTAAAAATAATTAATTAAATATGGAATAAAGGAAAACAATATATGAAGGATATTATTTCCCTCTTTGCCTTGACTTATGATATTTAGTTCATAAATATGTATTAATTTGAATACTTTAAAATTGACTTTTATTACTAAATTGTTGCATATGAAACCTATACATTTCTCATGTTGAAGAGATTAAAGTTATGCTTCATGTCTTATAAATTTATTAGGCTATAAGAAATTATGTTTTTATAGATTTTAAAGTCATATTCCAAAGAATTGCAAAAGTTTGATCTGCGTATTTTTGGTACAGAATAAAAAGGGATAAAAATCAATCATGTTAAATTGAATCAACTCATTAACTTATATAAAAAAAAAATTAATTCAAAGATTAAATTGATCTAAAAAATCGAATTTGACCTTTTAATCATTTTATACAAATTTAGGCAATAAATTAATTTAAAAAGTCAAATCTGATTTTTTTAACTATCTTAAATAAATTCAAGGTTGAAACTTGGCTTTTATTTGATAGTTTAACAAGGAGAAGAGTGAACCAAATTTGAATTTAAAATTATAGGCCCTATCTCTGTCAGTCAGTGTAATGATGAACAATTTGAAAAGCATTAATGTTGGGACAAATGTCAATATGCACGCAATATTGAGAGCCCCAAAATTTCCCCCCTTCTCTTCGATCTTGTCTCTTCTCTCTACACCCAAAAGTATTAATTGACAAAGTAATCATTCTCTTACACAAGCTCTATACATTCTTTTTCAGGGCCTGTATACTGTAGCAGCTAATTAAAATTCACTATGCTTTGGTTCAAGAAACTCATCGAAGATCTAAATCACAAAAATTTTCAAGACAAAGAAACAAATAATTTAAAAAATAGAAAAAAAGAAAGAAACAATTCATCAAACAATAAGATGATAATATAAAATAGGTTCCAAAAAACAGCATTAAGAACACACAAACATATGTATCTGATCTTGCAATTCAACTATTGCAGATTCTTCAATAGACATAGGCAAAGATAAATTAAGAGAGAGATACAAGATTTGATAAAATAAAAAAAAAAAGGACTAAACTAGAGACGTGAGTTCGAGCTAGAGACAGAATAAAAGGTATCGTTTTGTTTTCTTTTCCTCTGTATAGTGTCATTTTGAAAAATTGACTGAACTTGTAACAAGTAACCTAAGGTCAAATTAAGATACTCTAATTAGAGTAAAATTAAGTCATACTTGATTAAATTACACATGAAATTAAATTAAGACATCCTAGCTATAATTAAATGAAATCTTGACTCAGTCATATTTGGTCACACTTGAAATTAAATGAAGTTAAAACACCTAAGACTACTAAAATAATAGTTTTAAGCCAATACTAATTCATTTCAAAGGATAATACGTAAAAGAATGCTACATTATAATTTTTTTACAGCATTAAATGAATAAGGGTTGTTGATCCGATTGGTCACATTTGGATTTAAATTAAATTAAAATATAAAAATTGAAATTAAATTAAAATGACATCGATTAAGCGACACTTGAAATTAAATTAAATTAAGATACCTTAAATTAGAATTGAGTCAAATTAAGACACCCTAATCAGAGTTATATTAAGCTATACCTGATTAAGTCACATATAGAATTAAATTAAATTAAGATGTCCTAATTAGAATTAACTTAAGTCACACTTGAAAGTAAATTAAATTAAAACACTTAAATTGAAAAGAAATTAAAATTAGAATTGATTAAGTTACACTTGAAATTAAATTAAATTTAGACACTCTAATTAGAGTTAAATTACATTACATATGAAATTAAATTAAACTAAGACAGCCTAATTGAAATTAAACTAAGTTACACTTAATTAATTCATATTTTGTCATACTGGGAATTAAATTAAATTAAAATGCCCAAATTAAAATTAAATTAAATCATACTTAATTAAGTCACATATGAAATTAAATTAAGTTAAGATACTCAAATTAAAATTAAATCAAGTCACACTTTATTAAATCACAATTGGTCATATTTGAAATTAAATTAAACTAACACCTAAGACCACTAGAATAATAGTTTTAGACTAGTACTAATCCTTTACAAAAGGATTGAATATTATATATTTTTCTACAACATTAAACGAATAAAGGCCATTAATCCGATTGATCATACTTGAAATTAAATTAAATTAAAATAAAACACAAAAATTGTAATTAATTAAAAGTCATAATAAATTAAACATTTGATAAAATTGAATTCATCAAAATAAAATAAACATTTGATTTATACAAAATACTAAAATACCTTATAAATTGGCTTGGAAAATTTTCCTTTCATTTATTTCCCTAACTTTTCATCCAGCAAAGCTAACCATTTTTGTTTTTCTATTAAGCTCAATGTTAAAATTAGGGTGAAATTAAAAGGTGCAATTTGGGGTACCCACAAAGCAAAGGTTATTTTAGAGTCAAATTGAAATAACTCAAAAATTTAACTCATGTAATATTTAGTGTTTTACGTTCATGAAAAACTACTCAATCAGCTAACAACTAAACATTATTAAAACAGTTAACAGTTACCAAAACAGCTAATTTTGTTGAACAGACCTTAAGTCTTTAACTTAACTACTTGAGTCGATATGTAATTCACTTAAAAATCAACTCAACATTAAAACAATAATTTTCAATATTTTACATAATAAAATTATTAAATTATATGTAAAAATTATTATTTTATTTTTTTACTATAAATTGGATCTTTTATTCGTTTGATAAATAATTACTATAAATTTGATTACTAATATTATTTGACTTTGGTCAAACTTTCTGCAGCAAATCGAGCAGTTTTAATTTAAAAAAAAAAAAAAAAAAAAAAAAAAAAAAAAAAAAAAAAAAAAAAAAAAAAAAAAAAAAAAAAAAAAAAAAAAAAAAGGCAAACGTTTTTTAACTATATAAACTAAATAGAGCAAGAGCTTAAAGTACCTTTTAAAAGATCACGAGTTCAAAATTTGGATCCATAACGTTTGTTTTTCTTCAAAAATTAATATCTTAAAATCCACTAATTTTTTTTCTTAAAAATTTCATAATAAAAACAATTCCGAACATTACAAATAAATATAATTTTTCCTTGAAAAATCAATTACAATATGGTATCTTATAACAAATATTTATTAATTATTTTATTTACTTAATTAATAAAATAATATAAAAAATTAACTTAATTCTAAAATATCAAAATAGATTATAGTACATAAATATTTTAATATTTTGTGTAAATGGTGAATGATTCAAAAAAATATTATAATATTTAAATTATTATAATTTACATTTGATATGTTCATTATTATGTTTCTAAAAGTTTTTTTTAGAAGAATGTTCATTATTATGTTGAATATATAATATTTAGTGTGGAAAATGAATAACATAAAAATTAGTAGTTGTAAATTGATATTGGACGATGAATTGTTTGAAAAATAATTATAGTTATATTATTATTTTTTATTATAAAATTATTTATGACTATTTTTTATTAATTCTTTACAAATAATTAAAAAATAAAAAGTAGAAAATCCAGTTGATCTGACTTTTCATCAAGCCAATTTGTTGTTCAGTCTGCTTTTAGAAATATTAACAAATGTAGCTCACACTGCCTAAGCCTTCATATAGTTTAAATTATAGAATCATCCACAGGTTGCGCAGGAATGATAATCTCGTAATCATTCAAAATTAACCGATACTTGCAACAACAATGATTTAGTTTATTTTTTAAATAAAAATTCTTTTTTTTTTTTTTTTTTTTTTTTTTTTTTTTTTTTTTTTGTTTTATAATGATTTAAGTTTGGTTCTAACTTTCCAGGACTAAAGTAGATTTTTTTTTTTTTTTTTTTTTTTTTTTGTTTATAATGATTTAGTTTTGGTTCAACTTCCAACTAAAGTAATATTTTCTAAAGGATATTTAATTTTACAATTTTAATCTCGTGACACCCTAAACTTTGTAAATGACTTATCGTGCATTTGAATTTATATATTTTGATAACATTACACATCTTTTCCATATTAATAGCAAATAGCATTTAGGATTTTTGGCTTTTATATGTAAAAAATTGATTTAATGTATAGGTAGTGTAACTTTTGAAATAATAGTTTTCATATTTTCAATTATGTAATAAGTATTTAGTTGATCTAATTTTTCAAGTTGAAGTGTTAAATCAAATAATTCTGTAAATTAAAGTGTTTACGATGTAATTTTATAAGTTAAGAAGTGAATTTTATATATTCATCTATTTTCTATGTAATTATGTCATATGGATTTTTTATTCCTAATCAAGAAATTTATAATAATTTTCAGAAATCAAAACACAAAAGAAGAGAGAGGGATTAATTAGAAAGGTCGATAATTATTATTACACATTACCAAAAAATATATATATATATATGAAAATGATGAAAAAGAAAAATAAGAAGCACTTTAGACTTTATATTGAGGGAACTTAAGATGAGGCTTTTGTTGCCCACCATTCGTCCAAGATAAAACCATAACAAATAAGATATGAGTCAATAGCATAAAACTATAACAGAAGCACAGAAGACAACACCACCATGGCACTAAGAATGTGGGCTTCTTCTACAGCCAATGCACTGAAAATCTCTGTTGCCTCCAAACCTCAGCTCTCTCCTTACTGTCTCTCAAGATGCTTCTCTTCTGGTAATCGCTTTCTTGTATCAGTTTCTTTTTATAATTCTGTAAAATTGCGTTCTTGATCTTTTTTCAGTTGTTGTTACTTGTGAAAGCTTTCTGTTGTTGGCTATGCAGTTCTTGATGGGCTCAAGTATGCAACTTCACATGAATGGGTGAAACATGAAGGTTCAGTGGCTACAATTGGTATCACTGATCATGCTCAGGTTAATGTTATTAATTTTTTAGTATTTACCCTCCTAAATTTTCACTTTTAGTCCCTCTATAAATTTTGTTCTTCTTTTTTTCTTAGTATTCCTCCTAACTTCATTTTTTTTTTCAAAAGACTTTAGCTTTAGTTCCTTTTTATCTCATATTTGGAGCTCCAATTTTTTATTTTTAATATTTTATATATTTAAATTAATAATTTTAGAAATAATTTATCCTTTTTTCTCTCATGTTGAACCTTAATTTTCGTTTGTCTCACTTAAATTCTTAGTTCTGCCATTGGACTACTTCTACCATTCACTTGAAATTTTTTGAGATGGATAAGGTGTGGCGATACAATGACCACACAAGACAAGATACAAATATTACCGTCTCCGTCAGTTGATATTTTATACTCAGTTTTAGCATTTTTTTTTATACTCAGTTATTTCGCTAATGTATATCACTTATGTACTAATAGAAAAATGTCTAATTCACTCCAAAATTTTCCATTTTTTGTAATTGTACCTCACTTTCAAATTTGAATTTGAAGTGTAAGAGCACGTTCGGTAAAATTAATTATTTTGATAACTATTAGATGTTTTATTAATTATTAATTATTTTAGTAGTGTTTTTAACTAGTTGGTTGAATAGCTAGTAGTTGTTCTAGCAGTTTTTCATAAAAAAATTAAAAATTAAACGTTAGAAGAGTTAATCTTTTATAAAATACTACTTTAACATTTAAAATTTAATTCAAACTCTATGTTATCGAACACTATAAAGGTTGTATTTCGCAACAACTTTTTAAGTAGCTTTTAGCATTTTGACTGGTCAAAACGCTAAAACGCAATTTTTTATAGTGTTCAGTAACATAGTGTTTAAACTAACTTTTAAAAATTAAAGTAGTGTTTTATAAAAAGGTAACTCAAGTAACGTTAGCTTTTAGCGTACTCAAGCAGCTAACAATTAAACCCTATTAAAACAGCTATTAAAATAACTAATTTTGTCAAAAAGATCCAAAAATAAAAATAACATTTAGTGTTTTGACTAATCAAAATGCTAAAAGTTACTTAAAAAGTTGTTGAAAAAGTGAGGCTAAACTGGAAATCATATTTGCATAACGTACAGGACCATTTGGGAGAAGTAGTGTTTGTGGATCTACCAGAACCTGGAGTTGCAGTCACTCAAGGAAAGAGCTTTGGGGCAGTGGAAAGTGTAAAAGCAACAAGTGATGTCAATTCTCCCATCTCCGGTGAGATTGTTGAGGTTAATTCCAAGCTTAGTGAAGCACCTGGGGCAGTAAGTCTCTTCGAATTTCTTTCTAAAATTGGAATTTCTTCTATAAATTTTATGCATATTCTAAAAAATATATATACATCCTAAAATTTAATATTCAACTATGTTTGTCATTTTGTCTAACCTTTGTAAAATGTAATGGAAATAGATTAATTCAAGTCCATATGAAGAAGGATGGATGATCAAAGTGAAGCCAAGTAACCCATCAGAATTAGGATCCTTATTGGATGCAAAGGCATATACAAAATTCTGTGAGGAAGAAGATGCTGCTCATTAGAATTTTTAGCAAGCTTAGTTCCCATATTTTCTCTTGCAAAAATTGAATTAACTTTGTTTTGGACATATTTATTTAAATCCTCAAATCCTGTCAATTATTGCAAATGTATGTTTCCCTTTTTTTTTCCCTTTATTTTTATTTTCTTTATTGCAGATGTGTTCAGCAAAATAAGTTATTTTAGTAACTGTTAACTGTTTTAATAGCAATTACATGAGTTAACTTTTCACAGATCACTACCCTCACTTCTTAATTCAAATGCTATGTTATAAAATGACTTTTCAAGTAATATTTTAACACCTTAAAAATTACTTAAAATATAGTTTTAATGAGTATATATCATGCTCCGCGTGAAATTGGGCAATTTGAGATCCTTTTCCTAGCATCTTTGGAGACCTCGAGCAACATCAGTTCAAATGAGTTAGACTGCAAAATGACCATGCACTCTCCGACTTATTACAAAACCACTCTAAAATGACCATGGTATCCAAAGCACCCCTATTTTAAAACTTGGACATATTAGCACTCTAAAACAAGATTAGGACTACCATTGCAAATAATAAAAAATAATAAAGTGAGCCACATGGCAACCTTGGGTTAACTTAATCCAAAGCCTAAAAACATACCATCTCGGCCAATAACCTTATTTTTGTCTCCCTCTTGTCATCAACATCAGCCCCTACCTTTTTAATTCCTTCACACTCAACCCTCTGAGTAACTATTTGCATTTTCATTAGAATACCTCAATCCATCTCCATAGAAGCTTTACTACATAGTTGCATTATATATATATAATCCATCTCCATAAGAAAGCTTTTAAAACTTACATAGTTGCATTATATATATATATATATTATATATATATAACAATGAAATATTCACAAATTCGAAAGCAAGGTAATGTAAAAAACAAATGAAGAAAGCTGAATAAGAAATGTGCTCACAGTTATAAAAGAGCTGAGGGCATCCATTTTTGCAAACAAATTAGGAAACTCTCTCCCTCTTAATTTGTTTCCCAATTACATCTTCCTCCCATAAATCTCCCCACTGCAAATATGATCTACCCAAACCCATATTACTTTTGCATATCTAAATCTAAATTTCCAATTCTATTACCCACTTTAGACAAACCTGATCTAAATGCATTTTCTAACTCACAGATTTGGGTTTTGATCGTCTTTTGGGTAAAATAATTTGCAGTTTCTAGGATTAGCTAGAATTGTGTTTTTCAGCATTTATGGAGCCGAAGGTGGTGGAGGTGTAGCTGAAGCTGAAACTTGATGTGAATTAGGCTTTTCTGGGTTCTATGAAGACGACTCATTGAGATTGGATATCGATGGGCAAGCCATAAAACCTTCGACCATCGATTTCCAGTGATTGCCAATAGGTTGTGGAGAGAAGCTTGAAATACCAAAGTTGTGGAGAGAAACTTGAAATCCAAGTTAATGCAAACATCAGTGTTCTTCAAATGTGTCTTCAACATTTACTCAAAAAAAAAAAAAAAAAAAATAACTCAAAAAAAAAAAAAAAAAAAATGTTCACAAACTGGAGATTAGAAAATTTAACAACCATTAATAGTTGGTGTCAAGGGCAAAGTGAGTCAAAAAAAAAAAAAAAAAAAAATGTTCAACAACTGGAGATTAGGAATTTACAACCATATAGTTGGTGTCATGGGCAGGTGAGTCAAATTTCAATGATTCCTTATATTGGCCAGAGTCTTCAGGAGAGAAATTTCTGCATATGTCATCATCTACAAGGGGTGAAACTAATAAGTTACACAATAAATGCACCAAAGAATAGAGCAGCAAATTATGACTTTTATATAGGAAAAGCATTTGACCTGAAGTTCATAGAGGTTTATCGCACAAAATGCAGACATAACCCATGGAGATGGGTTGTATTGTTTAATTTAATATTAGTGCACAAACAAAGTGATAGGCAAAGTTGAAAAAGAAAGCAATTTTCATACCAAGACTGAAAACTATGGTATAATGTGAGTGATAAAAAAACAAGATGACAAGGATCTTTCATGGCATTTTTAAATACCTCAGCAGTTCCACAGAACTTACAGACCATTTTAACTCAAAGGATCAAACTAAATAGACCCTGAAACTAACATCAATTCCTTCTTACAATTAATTTGAACAGAGAAAGAGAACAAGGGGAGGAGATGGAAGAAAATAACAGCCCTTTCTGCTATCACCAGACCAAAATGACATACTCCAGAAGATAACAAACATACGAGCAACTCCATGAAATCTAAAAACCAGGACATGGCTATGTTATCTACCTTACTTATGAATATAAGAACCAGAATGAATTCTGTGCATTATAAAAAAAATATCATATGCCATCTTCAGTGACTGAGCAGGAAAACAAAAACATGCATGAATTATACATGTCAACCCCACAAACAAGTTTTAGAAAATAACAGTTTACCAACTTTAGAATAGAGCTTGCAACAAAAATAAATTACTTTCACTTTTCTTTACTTACTTTACAGAATAGACCTCATCTGAATACACGTCACTCATCTGAATAGACCTCTTAAAGTAGAGCAAAATAAAATATGAAACATAAAAATGCATATTTATAGCTTGTTCCTCATAATATGTTCCTATATTAATATTTAATATCATTGCAACAGTTTTTGGCATAGTGAGATTGTTATAAGCACAAACAACAATCAACCAAGGCCTATGTTCAAAATGACACTTAATCGAATCTGATGGAGGAATTCTACTTAAGCTCTGTTTGGATGGGGTGAGGGAAGGGTAATTAACAGAAGGGTAAGGGAAGGGAGGGTAAGGAAGGGGAAAGGTAAGGACAGTTACAATAAAAATTAGGTTGATGTTTGAAAAGGGTTGAATTAATGGAAATGTAAAGAGAGGGGTAAATAATTAAAAGTAGTACAAAAATACTTAGTTACCTGCATCTCCTCCCTTACACTCCAATTTGTGGTGTAGCAAAATTTGAGATTTGAGAGGCAAAGGAGAGTAAGGCTTACCCTTATTTACCCTCATCCTTCCTTAACTCACCTCTTTCCAAATGGAAATATATATTTTAGTTACCTCTCCTTCCCCTTATATACCCTCCTTCACCTCCAACCAAACAGAGTGTTGGTTGTTCAGTTTTAAGACTCCCATATGTTCCTATAAACATGGGATTAATTTCCTTTTAATTGTATTTGGCAGTTTTCCATAGTTGTGGTAGAAAGTTATTTTGTTGCCTTTATTTACTCCTTTTCCACCTGCTCTTTAAAGTTTAAAACAAAGGAAAAGAAAGCAAGCAGAATTTCAACCAACATTTCAGTTCCTAAAACTCAGAGATCACAGTTTTTTATAGTTCTCTAAAATGAGCTCTTATTATTTTTTCTATGTTCAATTAAATAGACCAATAACTAGATACACATTGAAGAGAAGGCAATTCCAAGAGTTGCTACACAAACATTTGCCATTTTACAGTAACTCTTTAATCTTTCAAAAGAGAAAAATAATTGACGAGACATGAGGCAATACTCACTTTGGTTTGTCTGTTAAGGTTACCAAAGATTTGAGCACACCAGGACTAATCTTGTCAGCAAGGGCACCTTTTTCTGAAATCAGAAAGGACTTCTCCTTTACAAAGCTGTGTAGTTTTTTAGCCTCAAATTCAAGTTTTTCTTGGTCTGCATTGCAACAAAGTAAGATTCAACAAAGTCATAAACTTCATCAAGAAATTCAATATGATAAAACATTTTGTTTTTCACAAGAAATTAATGTTTATGTTTGACAAAATAATCTCCATCAATTAAAAGTCTGACAGAACTACTAACAGAACTGACCCATAGGATATTTCTGTGACAGCATAGTTCCAGTCAATGTATCATATTGATTAATTCATGCACATAATTCTATCAAAATAATAAGTTCTAGGAAAACCTGTCTCCAAGATGGTATGAACAGCATGAAATGGTATACTAGCAAAGACATCAGTTCCTTGGAACATCATCCATGTGCGCTCATCTGAGTTATGGTTGCCACAGGTTGCACATACCTCCTTCACCAAAGGCCTTGATGCAGACCGCCCAATATCCTTCATCATTGACTCAAAAGGAGAAGGAACACTAGTTTTCGTGGTCCGCGCTCTCTTTCTCAGCGCAGTAAGTGCTTCCCTGTTCCCATTCCTCATTTTATCATTTTCAACCACCTGCACTTTTATTGCTAAGGTTACAGCAACCTAGTTTCTGACTACCTCAGCCAAAGAAAAAAGAAGGAACAGACTAGAATATCTACAACCATATACCATTTTCATTTAATAAACTTGACCAGGCAAAGGAACTGCAACAGGCTAGACTAAACAAAAAATTTGATTTCTTAATTTCCTTAAAATAAGAAACCTTGAAAGTGTATGGCAATATGTTCTTTTAATATTCTCAGAAACTTTTGTATCTTTTGTAGTCTCAATTTTCTGAACTCATTTTTTCTGTACTTTTCTAGACTCCGCAAGTGTTTTAGAGCTCCATCGTATAAGTCTAATGAAGAACTTTCCTCTCTCACATTTTTTCAGCAAACAAAGAAATGTGTAACAACAGATAAGCATATTCAAGTGCACTTTTGAGAGACATAAATAGAGTTGAACGTATGAATAACCTGATGTCGGGTTAAAAGGAGTTTCTCCGCTTCAATTTCAAGCTCAACCAAGCTTTGCTGAAACTGCTTCATAGACTCATCCATTTTCTGAATCCCGTATGAGAACCTTCACCTGGATTCAAGATTAACAAGCTAAAATATTAAATTAAGCAAAACTTTCAAGTATTTCAGAAGGCTAAGGAAACTTCTACCCTAGCATAGGCATAATCAGATAGAGTCACAACACAGATTATTAACAGAAAAAGTACTATTCATCTGTTCTCTGTACTATTCATCTAGTCACAGCACACCTCAAATAATTTATTAATGCATTATCTATAAAAATAAAACAGTAACCATTAATTAACAGAAGAACTTGGGATTAGAAAAGCAATCAAGACCATAAAATCAAATCAACAGAAATCCTCCTACCAAAAACTGAAAGCTAAAAGAAAATTCATATTACCCTTCAAATTGCAAAAATTACACAAAACCTACAGAGCAATCGAATTAACAAGAATACCTAGCTGCCAATTAAAAAAAAAAGTTTCGAATGAAACGCAAGTATACATTGAGGCCTTTGAATCCCTTAACGGCACCATTTTACAGAAAAATCCATTAGCCATAGCAACAGAACGAGAACGATAACAGCAACACAAGAAAATGAAGGAAGAAAGCAAACAAAGCACAATTCAATTACATAACACCAACAGAACAAAATTGATAAGATCATAGAATTACAGGATTCATTCATAGATTAAACCTGTGTGTTCTCCTTTTATTTTCTACTTTCTACTCAAATTATGAGTTTAGAAAGAGAGAGGATGAACAAGTAACAGTAATTACCAACAAAATCGAGAACCAAAGAAAGAAACCCTAAATCGGAAAGAGAGAATAGAAGAAGGCTTTAAGGAAAAAAGACCAGTGCGTAGGGTTGGCAGCGGGGCAAGTACTCGCTAGAAATAAGCTACCCGAACCCAAATCCGTTATTAATTTAAGTACCTGAACCCGTCCCGAATCTGTTAAGGAATAAACCAATAATACCCAAACCTATCCCAAATCCGTTTAGAACTACCCGCATACTACCCGAACCCATTTAAATGCCCATTTAATCACAAATTTATTCAATCCACAAAATCCGAACTCCGCATGAAACCCGAATCTGACCCCGAAGTGCGACAAAAAAATACATAAAAAATGCATTAAAATTCAACTTCAAAATAATAAAACAACTTAACCTATAATATTCGAAATAATAAAACAACTTAACCTGTAATATTCTAAAACAACAATACATAGTAATATTAAAATAGAACAAAAGAATTGAAATTCAACCTAAATAAATAATTCAAACCAATATCTCAATTAAAATATAAAACAACTTAACCTGTAATATCTGTAATATTCTAAAACAACAATACATAGTAATATTAAAATAGAACAAAAGAATTGAAATTCAACCTAAATAAATAATTCAAACCAATATCTCAATTAAACAATTTGACAAGCAACCATCTATTAAAATTCAATAAGATTAATATTAATAACAAACTAAAAATCAATTAAAATATAATAATACTAAACTATAACAAATTATCATAGAATGAGAACTAAATCCATATAATAAAGCATAATAAAAAGTATGTCAATAAAAAAATTACCGAATTAAAGAGTACATTAAAACAGAACAAGACTACAACAAACACACAATAAATTGTACATAAACATAATATTCTTAACACAATCAAATCAACTAGTTAGTCTTCGCTAATTAAAAACTACCGACAGCAAATTAAACTAGTTACAATCAAGTTTAGGGATACTAAACAAGTTTGCAAATTAAACTAGCAAATTCAAAGTCTGGCAATATGACTAAAACACTTACATGTTCAAGCTATGTAGGTCAGAATATATCAAAAAAAAAAAAAAAAAAAAAAAAAAAAAAAAAAAAAAAATTCAGCCCTACACAAAATACAAAATATTAAACCTCGTGTAATTTGTGTTATTGCTTTAAAAGCTCATTTCTAGACAGATTTGTATAAATATCTCATGGTAAAAAAATAAAAACAAGAACAAATTAAACCAATTAAAAAAAAAAATCTTCTTGTTGGCCATTAGGAATAAAATCGACCGAACTTCAAACTTTCACATTTTGTACAAAAAGTAGATTCCTTTTAATGTGTTTTGCTTATCAAATTTGATATTTGCAAATAACCTCATTTACAATGTCAAATTTGAAATTTAAAATCCTATTATCGAAAAACCAAAACTTTGAAATATATATATATATTATATAATATATATATATATATTATATATATATATATATAAACTTAGCAGCAGAAAATTAACAAACCATTCTCAGTATAGACAATTATATGCAAATAATCTCATTTCTCAGTAATAGTCTAGAACAGAATCTTAATCATTATTAACAAACCAATCTGATTAACAAACCAAACATATCAATTTCAACTTAAATAACCACGAATTGGCTATATTAACCATCCTTTTGCCTTTTAAATATAATAATTTTCAAACAAATAAAACATGCACAAACCCATAAACGAAAAAATAAAACAATATGCAAATACTCTCAGCTGAACCCATAAATTAATTCAACAATTTCTGCTCTTTCTTATTTTTGATGTGCTTATATAGAAAAAAGGAAAAAGGGACGAAGCAAAAATGAAAAAAAAAAAAAAAAAAAAAAAAAAAAAAAAAAAAAAAACTGAGAATGAAAAAAATAAAAAAATCAAGAATGAACCTAGCTTGAAGAGCACGACTCATGCAGACGCGATGGCCAAGAACGAAAGCAACGGGAAGGTATAGAGAAAGACTGGTTGTAGAAGAGCAGAAAACGAGCGGCGCAGGGGAAGAGAGGGAGGAGAAAATACTTGACTCGAGTTTGAGAGAACTTCCTGTTTGTATGATTAAATGCAACCCTGGGCTAAAACCACTTTAATTTTGTTTGTGAATTCATTTAAACCTCCCACATAAAAAAAAAAGTTATTTTATTATTATTATTATTAAAGTTATTATTATTCTTATTATTATTAAAGTTAGTATTTTATTTTGAAGAAATTAAAGTTGTTATTATATTATTATTATTATTATACTAGTTATTAATTAAAAAGTATTAATTAAAAAGCTATAATTATATTTCAATATTATAGTAATTGTAATAATAAAATATTATATAAAGTATTAAGTTTAACTTTTTTTTTATTATAGAATATACTTAGTAGGTTATAATTAATTGTGGTTATTGCAATCCTTAGTCTATATACACTAGACTTTTAAGTATAATTATACTAATATACATGATAATACCAATAAAAAAATTAAAAAAAATTAACTAAGATCCAATTATAATTATGTTTATAAGTTCATTTCGAAAGGGGTTATTGGATGAGTATAGGATGCACTTGACATCCCAACCCCACACCACATTAGCTTGTTTGGTGAAGGCTGCTTCAGAGCTTGAAATTATTCGGAATGAGAGACAGGCCAGAGGTTAGAGGACCCAGCAGAGCAGTCACAGTCAGTATAAGAAGATTCAAAGTGCTACGTCTGCAGACTTCAGGGGTCCAGTCTAGTAGCAAGAGATTTAGAGGCGGACTGCAGATGGGGGTCAGACCGGGCCAGATAGTTGGTCGGGGTATATTTACGATATCAGCTCCTCCGACTACATCTGTTGCTAGTAGTATAGGTGCTGCATGGCCAGGTCTACCAACTTGCATTCAGTGTGGCAGGAGACATGTTAGGGCGCGTTGGGGAGCTACGAGAGCTTGCTTTAGATGTGGATCCACTGAGCTTATGATCAAGGATTGTCCTATGACCGTGACTCGTCCAGCTCACCAAGTTGGGAGGCCAGCTCCTTATGGTCAGAGAGGTAGAGATAGAGGCCGTAGTGAGGGATATGGTACTAAGAGTGAGAAACCAGTTTCTGAGAATGTGGAGAGACCAAAGGCTAGAGCACAGGCGAGGGCTTATGCCATCAGGACCAGGGAGCAGTGGAATGCACCGGATGTCATTGCAGGTACCTTCTCCATCTTTGACACTTTTGTACTTGCTTTGATTGATCCAGGCTCCACGCATTCATACATATGCATCCATGTGGGTAGATAGTAATGCATGCTTGATACTTAGAGCACAGCGTTGAGGTTACTAGCCGGTCAGAGTGTAGTAGTTGATCGGGTGTATAGAGATTGCTCTTTAGTCATTCATGAGTATGTATTTCCGGGTGATTTGATAGAGTTGCCTTTTCGGGAGTACGATGTGATATTGGGTATGGATTGGTTGACTAGACATGGGTTTATTGTTGATTGTAGACGTAAGAGGATTATGCTTCAGACTCCGTCTGAAGATGAGATTTTAATTGTGGGGGAGAGGAGGGATTACCTCTCTAATGTTATTTCAGCCAGTACCGCTAGGAGAATGATACAACATGGATGTGAGGCGTTCTTGGCCTGTGTACTTGAGCCTGAGCGGAGATCTCCCAGTGTCCTTGAGATTTCGACGGTGCGACGGTGTGTGACTTTCCAGATGTATTTCCCGAGGATTTGTCTGGTTTGCCTCCTGCAAGAGAGGTTGAGTTTAGTATCGAGGTTGTGCCGGGTATTACACCGATATCCATTGCTCCATACCAGATGGCTCCTAGTGAGTTGAGAGAGTTAAAGATTCAGATTCAGGAGTTGATCGGTAAGGGTTTCATTCGACCTAGTGTATCTCCTTGGGGTGCTCCAGTATTATTGGTGAAGAAGAAGGATGGTACTTGGAGATTGTGCATTGATTATAGGCAGCTTAATAAGGTGACACTGAAGAATCGTTATCCATTGCCTCGAATAGACGATTTGCTTGATCAGTTGAGAGGGGCCACTGTGTTTTCGAAGATTGATTTGAGATCAGGATATCATCAGTTGAGAGTTAGAGAGTCAGATGTACCTAAGACTACTTTCAGGACTCGATATGGTCACTATGAGTCACTATGAGTTTTTAGTGAATGCCCATTTGGGTTGAAACTAATGCCCCAGCAGTGTTTATGGACCTGATGAAACCGGATTTCATCCTTTTTAGGATCAATTCGTGGTGGTGTTTTATTGATGATATTGTTGGTGTAACTTTCTCCGACTAGAGAGGATCAATGATCACCACCTACAAAAAGTTCTGCAGACCTTGAGAGACCCGACAGTTGTAATGCCAAGCTCAAGTAAGTGTGATTTTGGTTGATTGAGATGCTTCTTAGGGCATGTTGTTTCTTGCAGAGGGTATTTGTGTGGCCGAAGAAGATTGAGGCAGTGCTTGAAATTGGAAGCCACCTACGAAATGTCACAGAGAATTCCGCAGTTTCTTAGGTTTGCTGGATATTAACAGAGGTTGTCAAGGGGTTTCCTCTTAATTGCAGCCCCTTTGACTACGACTTCTCCGTAATATTTGAACCCATCAAGCGAAATCTGTTTGTATACAGAAATTGCTAAATTTGAACCCCAACGATAATCTGTTTTGTATACAGAAATTGCTCTTTAGACCTACCAAAGGCGAATCTGTTTGTATACAGAAATTGCCATTCTCAAAATCATCTTGAACGTGGCCAGATATTGGCCAGATGCTTTAGGAACGTTGAATGTAGTCCGACTAGAGCTTTCAGGCAAAAATCTTTCGAGCCAACCAAATTTCAAAGTTTATGGTTATTAATGTATGGGGGCATGTGATGCTCCAACATTTAACAAAGGCAAAATCTGTTTGTACACATAAATTGCTCTTTTCTTTTTGAAAATGCTTTCAGGTCAAGCAGTGATGATGAATTACGAAGCTGTTTGGATCCTTTTCTCGATTCGTGATGATGCATTTCGAAGCGGATCGAGTCAATCCTTTTCCTGATTAATGATGGTGGATTACGAAGTTGATCGGGGCAATCAAATCAAAATCCTTCGGGCCAATCAGACTGAGCTTCGGAGGTATCTTCAAAACCAATCATACCGAGTTTTGGAGATCATTACTGATCCGACTGGAGCCAATAAAGCCGATCAGACTAAGATTTGGACGTGAACAGATGATCAAATCAATTCAAATCAAAATCCTTCGAGCTAATCAGACCGAGCTTCGGAGGTATCTTCAAAGCCAATCAGACCGAGGCAATCAGACCGAGTTTTGGAGATCATTAACCGACCAACTGGAGCCAACAAATCCAATCAGACTCGAGAATTTGGACGTGAACGCGACCAGATGATCAAACCAATTCAAATCAAAATCCTTCGAAGCCGACCAGACCGAGCCTCAGAGGTATCTTCAAAACCAATCAGACCGAGTTTTGGAGATCGCTACCGATCCGACCGGAGCCAACAAAGCCGATCAGACTGAGCTTCGAATGCGACCAGATGATGAAGACAACTACTCCATTCAAGCCAAGATTGAAGGTGCGTCAATGGACCACTTTAACATTAATCGTCTATACAATTAATGATAAAGTGGGGGGGCAAACTGTTGCGCTTGTCTTTATGCCCCCACCTAACCCAATGAGGAAATGAGGCGGAAATGAAGGGTCACGGCTATCCAGAAGTCTTTTAAACCCAAGATAAATTAGACGAATTTAAAGGTGTCTGATTTACATAAAGATTGACGGCACTGACAGTTGCGTCACGCAACTCCAGTCAAGATGACATCACCATGAATGCCGACATAATTGTTTTTCATTCTGTTTGATTATGTGGCAACGGTCCAGAAAGTGAGCTACGTCACGCAGCTATTGGGTCCGTCAAGCAGCCGTTAGTTGCGTGACGTAGCTATCCCCTGTTGCCCTACTACTATAAATACATCATGTTATCTCTTAAACGGGACAAGAATTTTAGGGCGTAAAAACATACACTTGCGGCTAGGTTTTTCTACAGAAACTCTTCTGAGTTCTCTTGAAGGAAAACAGCCATTAGAGATTAATTAAGTTAAAACGAAAATCATAAAAAGGGAAAAAAAATAAGAGAAAAGAGTGAGCGTTAAATCCTTGTGGACAGAGCTTCTGGAACCCATTAACCTTCATTCTTTAAGGCGTTCAAGTTGTTTACAATCCTCAGTCGGAGGGTTAGGTAATTCCCTTAAACTTTTCTTTGTATTGTTAGTTATTTATTCATTGTTATTTATTTTATTATTGCTTTAAGTAGTTTAAACTTAGTTAAACGGTATTCTGTCCACTCTTGGTTGTTTTTAGATCTTATTAGAGCATGTTTAAATAAAAGAAAGACGTAAATAAGTTGTTTAAAAAGTAAGCACGGACCAGAGCAGTTGCGTCACGCAGCCAGACGCAGCCAGTAGATCCGTCACGGACCTGGCAGTTGCGTGACGGAACTGTTCATGTCCAAAATATCATTTCTTTACCCAGATTAGTTGCGACACGCAGCTATCGGATTCGTAACGGATCTGGAGGTTGCGTGACGGAACTGTTCATACTCATGATTTCATTTTTATTTTTAATATTCTATTTTGATTGTGGATTTAAAATATACATTTGATGGATCTAGAGTCTTAAGAACAGTTTTAAGAACAGTTAGGTCACGCGACTATTAGATCCGTCACGCACCTGTTCTTCCAAGAACAGCTGCGTGACGCAATTGTTCTAGGGTTCCAGAAATAATTTTTGTTTTTTTTTTTTAAATAATAATTTTTGTACAAAAATAAAATTTAATTTTTTTAATAAATCCGAAGACAACCAATTGTGGGCAGATTGCAATTTAATTAATTTTAGGATATTAAAATGTAATTATGCATGCTTTCGGGTTTTTGGTTTTTGGGTTAAAATTTTTAATCGGGTAGAATGTATTTTTTAAGTTTGGTTTGTGGCCCGCCTTTAACCATAAGGCAAGAGCAGGTCTTTTAGGGTCTTTTATTTATTTATTTTAATTACTTTTGTGTGGATGAGTTAAATGATTATGGATGTGATGATTGAATTTAGTTGAACTTAAATGGGACGATT